GTACGCTCCGATTCGGTCAATGTTTAGTTTCTTTTTTTTTTCTCATTTTTTTATCGTTGTTAAAATTTTTTAATGTATTTATGTTCTTCTGTTTCCCGAATTTTGTGCTATATCTCCAGTTTTTCTTTTTTAGGTTAAAACATCGTGGATCTAATACTTTAGATTTTTACACTTTAGTTTTCTGTTGCGTGTTGAGATTCGCTACTAGTTTGCTATTTTTTTTAGAGTCATTCTTTATGGAAACGTTTCTGGTGCTTTTCGTGATTTCAGTTTATCTTTTTTTTGTGCTTCACATTGTTTCTTTGTATGTCCTGACATCAGAATTATTATTACTTTTTTTTTTATTTTGAAAAAGCAGTTAAACTGCGTGTTGTCTTCAATTTAATTCTCTTTTAATTTGCCTACGCCTTTTAATTGAAGGTAGGATCTTGTTAATAAGACATTTTCTTTTTCGGTCGGGTCTTTTACCGGTATGCCCTTAATTTTAGATTTTTTCTCACGCTTTCTATCTTTCCAAGTAATATGATGCAGTTAGTAGATTGGGAAAGTAACTAAATATAATTTTCACTTTCCTGAGCGTTAAATTTTTTTTTGACGGCTAGAGGTCGTTGGAAATGAAATTGTGTTTTATCAAAGTTTTTATTTTTTCTTTTGATCTTTTTTTTTTGTCAGTAATTATCACCAGCAGCAGTTATCGGAGGGTCGGTGTTGTTAATATTTATTAACATTTTAGATGTTTTCATATATTCCTTTTCAGGTTTTTCATTTTTCGTGTTTAAAAGTTAGAGGTAATTGACCATTAGCTGATGATAGATATTTAGGTCGTTTATTCCATTTTCTTTTCGTCAATATTATCACACGTTGCTTTTTTGGTGGCATAGCGTAATTCTTTATTGGTCCCAAGTAGATTTTTAGTAAGCTTCGAGGCCTTTTTAGTTCATTGTGAGTTTGTGCCGAATTCAGGGTATTTTTTTTTCCACCTTTAGTTAGTTGTTGTGTTTGAGGTTTACTCTTGAATAGGTAAATGTTAACCAGACGTTGAGAAACTAGCTTTCATCAGTATCTTTGATGTTTTTTTGTAGAAGGAGTTTTAAAACGTCTTGTTTTTTCATTGAAACTGGAGAAACTAATACGTATCTTCCGTCTTTTTTGAGTTGGCTCAATGAGTAAGATTGGTCGCTGCTCGGAGGTGCTAAGTGGTTATTCTTTTTCTGCTTATTATTTGACGGGATCTTGTCATGTTGTTTGCGAAGTCTGGGTGTGAATATTATCTTGATTACTTTCGCGTGTATTACGTATTCAAATGTCTTTTTATCGTGTATTCGTTCTGAGTAAGGTATTGTTTTTTATGATTACTACTTCCTTATTGCTTTAGTATCATGTCATCACCAAAGACTTCATGCGATCACAATATGCAGCTTCCTTCGTTGGAGGAGTTAGATTCCTCAGAACAACTGGAGAGTAATAGTTCTGATCAAGACGACCGTGAGAATGAAGACGAATTGTCCGGGGTCAAAAGTTTTTTCCCTGCATTACTTCCAGGTCTTTCTTATGGTTCTGGTAGACTCTGATTAACATTATTTATTCGGCTACTGTAATTATCAAGACATTGAAACAAAGTCACATTTTCATGTGGGTTTTTGTGTGTCAAACTTTTTTTTTCTTCAGGTGATGAGCCAGGTCCTTCACAAAGTAATGATTTTCAAGAGCAGCACCAATACATTCCTCCAGACGTTCGTCATGACCAGAATAGTCGCTCGTCTCTGTATGACCAATTACCGAATAGTATTGGAGAGCAGTCAGTGAATGAGCAGGACCATTTACAACAGCCTGTCATTGGTAACGGATTAGTTATCTCCTCTTGTGTGTAGAGATTTTTAAGGTATTCGTACTTGTTTGTATTACAAAGCTCGCAACATTTAAATTTTTTTTTCAGGGCCATCTCTGCCCCCTGGTTTTTTGAGCCATGATAATAACGATTACGATGAAGATCCGGAAGATCCTGGGGATCCAGAAGATCCTGAAGAAAGTGGTTAGTGTTTTGTAATTTTTCTTTTAGAACTTAGCTAGTAGTTCTAAAGTCACACCTCTAAGGAACACAGGAAGAAGTTTTTTGCGGAGCACGAAGAAAATTTTCTTCTTGTTTCCTGCAGAACTGATGTCAAGGATGTTTGAAATTATTGGGTTTTGATAGTTAATCAACAATTTCTAATCAAGGGTCGCAAGTGGGAAATTCTTACCTCACAACTTTCCAGATAATAAGTCATCTTTACCAAAAATCCCTTCAAATATGTCTTCCCTTTATTCACGACCCACTCTCCCATCGGGTTTCGTGCAAGCACCTTCACTTCCTGATGAAGAGATAAGAACTTCCTATGGGAGTATGGAAGGTTAGTTGATTGAGGTTTTGAACTTCGAGACGTCTTATAGGAATGTATTCATTTTTATTTGTTAATAAGTTCTTTTGGATGCAGGATACAGTACAGTACAAATACCTCCTCCTGAACCTGCTTCAGTAAGGAGTTCTACTTGGCAGCACTCTTCAAATTATAAACGTGGTTATTCGAAACCTTCCATAGGACCAATGTGTCCTCCTGATGTTCTTCCGACTGTGTCAAACAGTAACAAGGTTGTTTGAACTGAGATTAATTACGAGGTCTTCTTTGATAGCTTTGTTGTACGGATAATGCAATTTGGTTTATTTTTCTTTGACACCGATTGTGCCTTTCATTTAATATTTTAAGAGGAGATTTTCACTTTTTTCATGTTGTAGGGTATTAGCGCTGACAGGAATGAGTCTGAAGACGAAGTTTACGGTCCGTGCTTGCCACCAGAAGTTGTTCCTGGACCATCCCATCAAACTTCTAGCATTGAAATGCCCATAGAAGGAGACGAGCATAGTAACCAGCAAGATGTAGACAATATTATTGGTGAGGTTGAGATAAAAAAATTATAAACTGTTTGATCTAACTCATCAAAGTACTTATTTGCTTTGAATAGTGGCGGTGGCTGCTGTTAAAGGTTTGTTATCAACAGCAGGCTCATGTTTTAGGGCCGCTACCTCCTACACAGGAGCAGATAGAAGTGGCAGAAAAGGAATATTCTGATCGTTTGGCTCGTTTTAATGCACTCCAAGATAATTCGAAGGCAACTTTTTAGTCATTTTTGCCTTTTATTTCTTCATAATCTTCTTCTACGTCACGACAGAAACCTCCCGAGAGGAAAAGTGGACTAAGTTTGCTAAACTTGATTAGATCAAAGTTTTTCTGCTACTGATTAAAATTACAGGTGAAGAGTAGTAGGCGTGAGGAGTGGATGGTACAACTTCCAAAGAAACTTGGCGGTTACGGGTTAGGCCCCAGGACATTTTCTTTAGGAAACGACTCATCTGCTGGTGATGATCATGCAAAACGGGAATGGACAGAAACTCCATTTGAAAGGGAAAAGCGACTAGCGGTTTGTTTTAGAAAGAACTTGCACTTTTTCATTAAATTGTAGTTATTGATTGACAGCTTTCTGTGTGACCTGGAAACCATCACTACAAGTTTTTTTTTCGGCAGTTACAAAGAAGGAGATTAATTGCTCCGTATTGAAAGCACTTACATTTCAAAATGCATGGCTTATAAGTTGTAGAATCGTTTAATGTTTTTACTGGTGGACTTGATTGTATGAGTGTTATTTTTAAGGCTGACGTCGCTGGTGACGCCGGACCTAGTCAGCAGGATTCTTGGGAACGGAAACGGAATGCTGAAAGCGACGGAGCGCAGGAGAGGCGGGCGGAAGAATTAAATGTTTGGTTTATTTACATATGAATTGAATTAAGAAGCACGAAAAAGTGAAGTAAATGTGATAGTGATTTTTTTAGAAGAACAGAAATCTGTCTTTGTTGGAAATTCATCAGCGCAAGCGGAAAGGAGATGCTGAGGAAACGGTATGTTATGAAAAATGTTGATAATGGAGATCATTTCATTGAAGGTCGGAATTACTTGATTTGTAGTGTAAGAGAATTGTTAGTAGATGTTTCAGAGTAGCGAGAAGAAAATTAGGCAGCCTTTTGATCGTGAGAAAGATATGGAGGTCAGTTTGTTATGAATCTTCCCCTTTCAGTGTTTAATAAGTTCGTTTTGAACACATAACGCATTAATTACAGGTTAAAGGCTTAGGACGAAATTTGAGTACTTCTGAAATAAAAGAACGGATGGGCCAGTTGAATTCTAGGTTTGCCTGTTCATCTTCCAAGAAGTACCTTTAAGGGCAAGATGAGTGTTTTTCCAGGTCCGTTTTAACTTAATTTTTATTCGTGGTGTAAGCTTTGTTTCATTTTCACGTAGTAATAATGATGATTGTTATGCCTGAGTAATTTTGCTTTGGTTCTAGAAGTCCTGGTTTCTTGAAATGGATCCATCATACTTCAATTTTTTTAAGTTCCATTTGGTTCTGTTTAATGTTCTTTAGTGAAGCAGAAACTTTTGAAGTCTTATGAAAATAAATGGTATTTGTTGAGGGACCATGCTCTGGGAACGCACTGTTCATCTTTTTTCCATTCTACTTTACCAGTCTGAGTTGCTACCTCTTAGCCAATTTTTTCTTTTGATGAGTTGTTTTGTTTTTCTCTATATATATCCAGTTATACCTCACTTTTTTTGCCTTACTCTTTTATTATATATTGGCTCTCCAATTTGTTTCTGTTTTGCCTAACCTGTTTCAAGAGGTTCTTATTAATACAGTTAAAACTGTCTTGTAATTGTACAGGGAAGCATTTTGTTGAATGTTTTTTTCTTTTTTTGAGTTTGAGCCTTTTACATGATCTAGGCAGTTGAGCCACTAGTGAGCTGTGGTTTGTACAAACTTTGGGCTGTTTTCACAATTGTAAATTTTATGAGAAATCTTTTTTCAATAGCTGTAAATGAATAGTTCTTTTTTGCACCTGGCTTTCTGCTCATTATATTATAGAGCTATTTGAATGGCGTGTAGTTGTTATTAATAGGCTGACTTGTGTCAGGAAATTGGTTGTCTTTTTCGTTGCTAGGCAAGAGCAAAGAAAAATGGGGAAGAAAGAGTTGATGAAAAGGGTTTTTGTTGAATTCAGTCTCTTCTGATAATGTTCGTTATTGTATATTAACCTGCAAACTTTTTGGTTGTTTGTTGAGGGAATTATGCTAAGGTTGTGTGCTGTTGTTCGTTTTCCTTTTTTTTTTTTCTGGTATGATCTTCGAAATGGAATTACTTCTTGACGAAGTTGGAATTATTGGTGTTCAGGTAAATAAATAGCTCTGAAATACTGTGGTTGAACAGTAATGATCAAAGTTTGGATTTTCGAAAAGTGTGGGTGTTGTGTCAGACTTATCAGTAAAGTTTCGTTTTGTCAAGCTTTAACATTTAATTGGTATATCATATAATTGAAGAGCGTAGGAAAAGAACAATAGATAGAAAGAATAAAATTATCAGTGATGTTCGAGGAGTGGAAATAGAAGAATACAGTAGGGTTAAAGGTTGTATCGGATAAATGAAGTGGAGATGGGATGAGTGAAGAAGAGAGGGTGGAAGGGAAGAAGAGCTAGACGTGGTAGTATTGTTGAATGGGACAGTGCTTGATTGTCGGTCAAGGCTATTAAACTTCATTGAGTTTAAGAATACACGTCGAAGCAAATATTGACGCATTGGTAGAGGGCTGTGATAGTGAAACCTTACAAAGAAATAAAGAAGAAAAACACGGGTATAAAAGTAACGCATTGAACAGTGGACGCGGCAGATGTGGAAATTTATATGCTTGGTTCTTAGTTTATCAAATTAAAAAATCTTCAAACTCCTTAGTTCTTTTGTCACTGTTATCATCGTTTTTATTTTTTATTTTTTTGTTGTTTTCATTGTCTGTTATTCATTTTACTTTTCAAGTGACCTATAGGAAGACAGTATAATGATTGGATTATTGAAACAATTTTAGCAGAACTTGTTTTAAAGGAGGTGTCCTTTTGATAGATAAAATGTTTAGCTGAAACTTTTTCTCAGTATTTGTACGCTTCGAACACTTTCTGAACGAGAATCAGATCGTGGTGGTGGAGGAGGCTCAGCTTTACCATTCTGTTGCGGATGTTGTCCACCAGCCTGTTGACTGTAAGCACTCCCTGGTGAATCTACTCTGTATCGCTGTTGAGAGGTCTCTCCTTGACGTGATTCACTCCTGTACTCGTTCCTTGATTCTGAACGATATTCCCTTTCTTTACGCTCATCTTTTAGAGGATAGTCTTCTGGAAAAGTCTATATTTTTCTCAGAAGAACAGTCGATGGTAAATCATAAAGATAAAACGACGTTCTTTTTTGGCTAGAAATTGCTCTTTGAAGATAGATATTTGATGACTGGTTGTTTCTTAAACATTGAGGAATAATAAAAGGTCTGAAAAAAATGTTTTCTTTTTTTGTTGCATTAGAAGCATAACTCAAAACTTACTTCTTCTGCCGTATTCACGATCTTGTACGCTATCAGGTGGGTTGGTTGTTGTACGGGTTGAAGAACGATGGTAAAATGACGACGAGCTGTGAGAACGCCCCTGGGTTGGCGGGTGCCCTCGTGGTGAATAATTACCTGTACGCTTAATTTACAGCGCAAAAAAAAAAAAAAAAAAAGATTTTACTAAAGATTTAATCATAGCAAAAGTTTTTTAACAACAAATTCATTATTTTATTACCAGAGTCATTGCGGCTTCTGGAACTATGACTGTAAACATCAGAAGCTCGAGATTCGCCGCGTTTTGAAGGTCCTTCAACAGGTACAACTCTTTCGCGACTAGGCAAAGCCTTTACGTGCTTTACCGCTTCCACAGTCAGTCGACCCTTCAAAAGGAATATTTTGCACTTTAATCAATGCCATTAACTTCATAATTAATTGTATTTAAGATAAGTTGACAGGAATTCAAGGCAATTTGTATTTTGAAAGAACATTAGTATTAAAGTAGGGTCTTTTTGGTGATATTCCGGGATTTTAGTAAACTGGGACTGTAAAACAACAGGGCGAAGATGGAGGGAAAAAGATACTGAGCTATCAATTGAACTGGTGACGTCCTGCGGGTTTACATCGGCTGGAAGCTGATATTTTCGAACAAAATACATTTTTGTAAAATTATCTCGATCGCGAACATCTTCGTGTCGTCCTTCGATGAGCAACGTGTCGTCAATGGTTTTTACCTAAATGCACGACTATTTTCTTTCGGAGAATAACAACACAGACACAAAAAAGAAGAAAATTAGAAAAATTATTTTCTTTCAGATTTTTAACTAGACGCTGAGCTGTCGCCAATAATCCTGGCAAAACTGCAAACGCATTCTACCTGTATTTCTTCCGGTCGAAACTGATATGCGTCAACGTCAACTATAAAGCGTTGAGAATCGTTGATTACTTTGGCTTTAATGTCGATACCCTCTTTGAAAATCGGTTCTGCCCATCGTGGATAAAGGTCACGCCAGAATGGATCAGTGCGCCAGTTCCGGTCTAAGCGGTCCAAATGCGATGAAAACTGAAAAAAAAAAAGGTTAATACGCATAGTGTCCTCAGTTAAACATAAATAACAGTATTTACTTTCGTGCTTTTGGTTTTTCAACTAAAATAATTACAACTTTTATTTTTATTTTATCTCTTTTTTTTTTTTTAATTTTTCTAAAAATGATAAAGGAAAAAGAAATAGTGAAGCGAATGCTAAATGTAGCAATAACTAACTCGTGGTGCAATGGTATCCATCCTAGGCCAGTCGCTTGGCCAGTCTAGGAAGCCACGACCAAAATCACTTCGAAACTGCAAAAACAAACGGATTTGGTGGTTCTCACAAGCCGATATTTAAACGCTAATTCCATGAACCAAAATAAGTGACAAGTGGATATTTTTCATTTAGAAGATTTTTTCAAAAACTATTTAACAAAAGAAAGATTTAAAAAAATCTTTTTCTAAGGAAAAAACGAAAATGTTGTGCTATGTACGTAAATGTTTTCAGTATGAATAAATGATTCAGCATTTTAATTTTATTTCTTGTTCATTTTTACCGTTTTACCCTTCTATTTTTCTTTTGCTTTCTTTTTTCTTTCTTCACTTTTGTCTTTTAATCTGCGCTAAATTACTGACTAAATCAACTTGTCCAGCTATTCAGTGTATCGTTTACTGCGCTCGCTGCTTTACTTAACCTTTTAATTTGACTGTCAAAAGAATGAAGAGTCTTCCAACCAAAAATTTCTGCTTTTTTATGCTCTTTTTGTTGCATAAGTAAATAAATACTCAACAGAGCAACCAAATAAAAAAATATCGCGAGCAGGAAAAAAAAAAGGAAAACACAGTAAGGTTTTGTTTAATACTCCACTGAACAAAAAACACTTGTTTACCAATAAGCTTTGAGGTAACCGGTGAATATCTTGATTTCTTCAGAGTAGAAAAGAAAAAAGTGGCAAAAAATTTAAAGTAAAGCAGGCACAAAACTCGATAACTAAAAATTACCTAATTTCAACGCTTCTGAAAGAGGGAAGAGAAAAAAGAGGTTTTTTTTAGTTGTCGAAGAAAAATGAATTTTTCTGTATGAATTATTCTTTCAGCGACAACGAACCGATACTCTTTTTCCTGACAGGAGAAAGACAGGACGAAGATTAGAACGGAGGGATAGAGGGTGGCAGACTGGAGAACAGAAGAGAAAGAGGGAGACGGAAGAATTAGGGGAACGATGACGGAAGACTAGGGTTGGGCGATAGGAGCCAACGAAAACGGAGGCGAATTAGAAGAGAAGTGAAAAAAGATTTTTTTTGGTCAAAAAGAGGATTAGTGAAGCGCTCAAAACAGCGCCAACGGAACCCGAAAAATGAATATTTTCCAACTTTTTTCTGCTCATCCAACATTTATGAATGTCAAAAAAAAAAAAAAAAAAA